AAATACGATGCAACAACAAAAAACCAAATTGTCCATAAATGTTGTCAAGTGTCCTGGATCATCACCCCTGTACTTGGACACTCCTGTATCGGAAAGGGAAAAACCCAGTGGGAAAAGCAGAGAAACCTCGGGGAGGCCCACATTGAGGGAGTCCTGGATCGGTCCGTCTGTTGGAGCAGACGGATCCAGAACTCAGGCTGTAGAATGAGGACAGAGGCCGTGTGATACAGGACTGAAGGGGGCTCCAAGGCAGGAAGGGGATGCAGCCTATGAATCCGGGCCAGGGAAGACAGTCGAGGCCGTCCATTGGCAAAAATAGACAATGGGACATCGGGTGAATAGCAATGAACAGACTACAGCTGTAGTCATAATTATGACATATAAAGTAGGAAAGAGGGGACGATAGTGCTCAAGTTACCATACTTCTCCCAGCAAAGTGTCTCCATATGCAGCTGAATGACAACTCGTGGTTTTAGACATAAGGTTGTATTTCTAAGTCTTACCTGAGTCTTACCTACCTAACCATATGCTAAATTAAATGCTGCTAAATTGAATGTAGAGACTGTGTCTGCTTCCTTGACGTGGCTGGGGGGTCCAAAAATAAATATGGATATCTAATATAGGCTACTCAATCTCTGCATGATGCAATTTCTCCAAGATTAAGGAGTAGAGGATTTATTTAACATAGTAGAAATTACTTGAATTGTATAATAAAGGCTACTTTTTTGTTTATGTTCCCATTCAAATCAATTATATATATATTTTTTACAGTGTATATGACTATCACACACAGTGGCAATAACTATAGCTTCAACGTTTAGGCTGGGACCTCAAGATAGCAGATTCCTGATGGATGTCCAGTAATCAGCAGTGAGCCATTGTACCTTACGTCCCCTACACAGCGTGTGCATATTTTGAAGCAAAAATGCTCAAAGGATTGGAATAAAGAAAGAATGCACTTCAGTAATATATTAAATTGTACAAACCATTTATCTAGGCAGAGGTAGTGGACATTCAATCTAAGTAATATGTAAGTACAGGAGTAACACTGCAGAAGGAGAAGAGGGCAGTGTCTGAACTTACAAATCAGGCTGAATGTTTTGACTTTGTATGAGAGTCAAGTTTATATTTTTTTTGTTTTCAACCCCATTTTTGTTCAATTTTTTCATCTTTTGAATTTTCTATTGATCTGAGATTGTGCAACAATTAAGAAGCATTTACAGCTACTTACAGTGGGGCAAAAAAGTATTTAGTCAGCCACCAATTGTGCAAGTTCTCCCACTTAAAATAATGACAGTGGTCTGTAATTTTCATCATACAGTAGGTACACTTCAACTGTGAGAGACAGAATGTGAAAAAAAATATCCAGGAATTCACATTGTAGGATTTTTAAAGAATTTATTTGTATATTATGGTGGAAAACAAGTATTTGGTCAATAACAAAAATTAAACTCAATACTTTGTAATATAACCTTTGTTGGCAATAACAGAGGTCAAATGATTACTATAGGTCTTTACCAGGTTTGCACACACAGTAGCTGGTATTTTGGCCCATTCCTCCATGCAGATCTTCTCGAGAGCAGTGATGTTTTGGGGCTGTTGCCGAGCAATACAGACTTTCAACTCCCTCCACAGATTTTCAATGGGGTTGAGGTCTGGAGACTGGCTAGGCCACTCCAGGACTTTCAAATGCTTCTTACGGAGCCACTCCTTCGTTGCCCGGGCGGTGTGTTTGGGATCATTGTCATGCTGGAAGACCCAGCCACGTTTCATCTTCAAAGCTCTCACTGATGGAAGGAGGTTTTGGCTCAAAATCTCACGATACATGGCCCCATTCATTCTTTCCTTAACACGGATCAGTCGTCCTGTCCCCTTAGCAGAAAAACAGCCCCAAAGCATGACGTTTCCACCCCCATTCTTCACAGTAGGTATGGTGTTCTTGGGATGCAACTCAGTATTCTTCTTCCTCCAAACACGACGAGTTGAGTTCTACAAACAGTTCTACTTTGGTTTCATCTGACCACATGACATTCTCCCAATCCTCTGCTGTATCATCCATGTGCTCTCTGGCAAACTTCAGACGGGCCTGGACATGCACTGGCTTCAGCAGGGGGACACTTCTGGCACTGCAGGATTTGATTCCCTGTCGTTGTGTTACTGATGGTAACCTTTGTTACTTTGGTCCCAGCTCTCTGCAGGTCATTCACCAGGTCCCCCCGTGTGGTTCTGGGATATTTGATCACCGTTCTCATGATCATTTTGACCCCATAGAATGAGATCTTGCGATCGAGGGAGATCATCAGTGGTCTTGTATGTCTTCCATTTTCTGATACAGTAATTGCTCCCACCCACAGTTGATTTGTTCACACCAAGCTGCTTGCCTATTGTAGATTCACTCTTCCCAGTCTGGTGCAGGTCTACAATTCTTTTCCTGATGACCTTCAACAGCTCTTTGGTCTTGGCCATAGTGGAGTTTGGAGTCTGACTGTTTGAGGCTGTGGACAGGTGTCTTTTATACAGATAACGAGTTCAAACAGGTGCCATTAATACAGGTAACGAGTGGAGGACAGAAGAGTTTCTTAAAGAAGAAGTTACAGGTCTGTGAGAGCCAGAGATCTTCCTTGTTTAAAGTGACCAAATACTTATTTTCCACCATAATTTACAAATAAATTCTAAAAAAAATCCTACAATGTGAATTCCTGAATTTTTTTTTCACATTCTGTCTGTCACAGTTAAAATTACAGACCTCTGTCATTATTTTAAGTGGGAGAACTTGCACAATCGGTGGCTGACTAAATACTTTTTTGCCCCACTGTATCTATGTTTACTCGTATATCACCTGTATTTGCACAACAGCACCAACATTTCCCTTTGTGGGAGGAATAAAGGTTCTCTTCTTCTTTAAAAAACAAAATCCCTTAAACCCTTAATGGTGAAAGACACTAAAACTGTATAGTATCATTCATCTATTCAGGAATTATGAAAAAGTCTTTGTAGGAGCAAAATTCATAACTTTTCAAAGTTGTGTTACAATAAGCAAATAAATGTACAATCATATTAGAACAGCTCCCCTCTTACATCATAGACTGGCCAGGCTCTAGTTCTCTGGTTTCTAGCTTTAGCAGACAGTTTTTCATGTGCACACATATTGATTAAACTGTCGAGTATACAAGGAATAACATATGTGAATTCTGGTTCAGCCTGGATCTTATGCTTCAGCCACTGGCTTCATAGACGAGTGCCAAGCCCAACCAAAAGCAGCCAAAAGATACCAATGTCTTCGTGACAGAAAGTGTGAGGGTCAATAAACACAAGTAATAGTAACAAATATCCCTGAAAACAGCGCATCCTAATTCATACACACTATAACCGTAATATTGTTTTATAATTTTGACCAACTGATTCCATCCTGTTCCTTTCCTGAGCAGCCCATCCCCCCGATGGGCACACGCACACACATTTTTTCTCTCACTCTTGCTTGGCCGTTGACGCCTCTGCGAATCAATATGTGCAATTCTGGAGAAATACTGCATCACCATGGCAACCAGGCCTCCTGTCCTACGAAAGAGGAGACTTGCAGAGCATACAGTCTAGTCTCTGTCCCAACCTCATGTCCGCTTCTTTTAAATGTTTTGGTCATTTGGTGCAGGGACTGGAAAGGCAATATTGCAATCTCCTTGACAAAAACATACACACAATGTAATTTTTTTAGTTAATAAAAAGTGTTTATTTACCCTCCATGATAACTGAAAGTTTACATAGGCTTATAAGACAAACTATATATATTTTATTTTAAACGTCTGTACAAAGTAATACTAATAATTCTGAGGAATCCCAATATTGTAGCACTGACCCAATATACAAAAAAAAAATTCTGTATGTATCAAAGTTCCAATATTAATCTAGAATGTAATTAAGAAAGCACATTTGTAGAGTTTACTTGAGACAGTACACAGAGTATTGGCATTGTAATTGTGTCTACTGCTAATGAGGCAGGTTGACAGGACAGAGATTCATTCCAGATGTCTCCAGTGTGCTGCCTCTCGTCCATCCTCTTCCCAAGAGAGAGCAGCTCGACAAGCCCCCACCCCCACGCCCGCGACACAGACCTGTCACACCAGGACACTGCCTTCTAATTGTCAGGAGAAGTCAGCCGTGCTCTACATTGATATCACCCAATGTTTTGTTTTTTGTTGAGAAAGTTAGTTTTGAGAGAAAATGTTGTTTGATTAGCTTGTAAATGTTGCACGGCTTAATTCTAAGTCTCAAGTGCGTGTGTGTTGTGGCGTACGTGCGTGCGTCGTGTGCGTGTGCAGCTTGCAAGGCTGCTACGCTCCACAGATCTGACAGGCACCAGTGGTCAAAGAGGACAGCCACTCAACTAAAACACAACCATATGACAACATCCTTTTAGTTGAACAAAAAAACTAAAATAAGCACCAAATATGTATTTGACCCTCTCATCACAATCCAGATCTGGTCAGGACTATTGCTATTTTGTGAGAAATGGCATTACAAAATATGCCATTGTTGGTATTTAGGGGATAGTTTTCTCACTTTCTTGGTTCCTCTGTGAGCATCTAAAATGTATTTCAACCACGTTATGCTATAAAAGAATAGTCTCTATATCTATATGAGGATTATGAGGCCATAAAGCTCAGGCAGGTTGTGTTTGTAGTGTTACGTGCAGTCCCCTGTTTGAGACAGCTACCTGTGGCTGTTAACTGGCATATAGCCTGAGGAAAACTGCTTTATGCACAAGGAAAATCAATGGAAAATTCATGAAGGACACCCAATGACATTCACATTCAACACTCTAAAAAAGAAAGATTAAAACATGCAGCAGTGGCATTGAAGGCCTTGGGGAAGCACAGGCTCAGCTAACGCCACCAGTTCGATTAACAGTGATATAAAATCTGTCTGGGCACTTTTGATTGCTCTTCCAACACATTACACAAACGTTTGGAACAAATGTAAACTAATCCAGAAAAAAGCTCACCATGTCCCAAGGTGAATATAGGTACTTTGCTCATTGAAAACATTGTTAGTGCTAAAACGTGTATGGTGTTATGCCACATCATGTTTAGTTGACACGTCCACCCTGGAACTACTCAATGGCTCATCAAAAAGAAATCAGTGCGCCACTGTGTAGGAAAATCAATGACAGAATTATCAAGGACATTCAGCACGGTGCACATTCAAGCCCAAAGGATCCTGAGAAAAACAGCAGATATAGGTGATTATCCGGCTCTCTTCAGAAGAGGAGACCGGCTACAGGTTGATCAATATTTTATCATCTTTTTGTTGGTGTAATGCAGGATGCATAACATCTTGTAGCACTTCATCCAGGAAGCGCCCGTCTAGGCATATGTTTCCTCATTAAAGAGGCAGACAGGAAGTATAGGAGGTAGACAGAGGAGGGGCCCGATTCCCATCACAACGAAGAAAACTAAGTTTTATACAGACACATAGAAGAATTTCCATATAACATAATATACAATCTCAAATGTACTGCATTGTTCCAAAGTTATAAATCCAAATAAAATCCAATAATAGATAATTTACTATAATGATAATTTCTATTATAATACAATAATTTATTAATCTCATAACCTAAATTCTTGTTTTTCCACATCAGGGTGGCAGTGCTGCTGGAGGTCAAGAAGGACGTCTTCTCTGGAGGCCTGAAGCCGTACCCTGACGAGCAGCTGATCCTGGTGGTCAACGCGCAAATGCTCCAGGACCTCGAGTTCTCCAACATCAAGCGCATCCAGACCAAGATGTTTCTGTCTGAACTCATGAGTATCTGGGAGAGCACCTCTGTGATGTGTGAGCCCGGGACAGCTCCAGACCCCTCCGCCACCTCATCTCATTGGCCAACTCAGGCATGGTTAGGTACCTGAGTGACGGAGGAGTGGCCAATAACAATATTGACTTTAAATTGAGTGATACAGTGCGTGTTTGACCAACTTCTGGTACAACAGGACCGAAGGCGAAAGCAGCAAGACTCACCATTTACAGCTGAAGAGCGCCTACAAAAGCCTCATGCCCTTTACCAACTATACTTACGATCTGGCTTCTGGACAATAACATCCCTAACTGTCCTCATCCGCACATCCCCTCTGACAAATTCTGCCAAATGGCCCAGTTTGAACTATGGCACCCCCTGCCTTCTTCCAGCCTCAATGGCATCCAGGCACACAACCAGCCCCCAACAGCACTTTGGACACAATTCTCTTCATGTTCTACATGATTTTCATCAGTCTAGATAAACCCACACACTAAATTTGGTAAATGAGTGCTTGTAGTAAGGAGTCTTAATCTTTAGTTTTTGTATATTTTGACTGTCTTGGTGTGAAAGTATAAGCCAAGCAAACCAGAATAAACTGTCTTGTCTAACCTAAAATTTGATGAAAATATTGAGAAAAAAAAACTGCACTTAAGATAAGCCTGAACTTGATTGTTCATTAGTGAATTTTATTTTAAAAGTGCCATAAAAAGCTTCTATCAAGAAAAATACTGCTTAATGAGTTAAATTAATTACTGGTTAAATACACCAAAAAATTGTAAATCACTTAATATGACCTTGATCTTTGAAATGCGTGATAAAGATTGCTTTGATGTGTTCAATCAAATACTCTTACAATACAGAATAAATATCAGTGTTACTTAACCTAATACGAGACGTGAGGTCATACATTCTAGTGTAAAAATGGTCACAGATTATGGCTGAACTGTAAACAAATTGATGAGAGTAATCAATATCAGAATATGAATCGGACTTCGCGCTCATGTAAAGTGCTTAGACTGTTTCGGCTGCAGTAGAAAGGTATATTCAGGCGATGCTCTCGTACATGTAGTGCCCAGTGGTTCACTCTACATTTGCCCATTGCTCTGATTGCTTGGTTACAGAATAGGGCGCAAAGCTTCTGTAAGTGAATTGGGAGTCTTCAATCTTCCCGAATCACTTAAAGCCTGTGCATCAGCGCATGTCATCCATCATGGAGACCAGAACATGGGCCCGACAAATGGTGCATCAGCATTCTGCAGGGCCTAACTATGGCCACTATCGCTGGACTCTGGCATCAGCTCAGGTCGTCCAGAAGAGGAATGACCCCACAGTTATATCGCACTTGATATGAGACACCTAAAGTGACCTCTTGTGGTGACCTGAACTAGAAGGGTTTTATTTTGCTGAGTGTCAAATAGCTGTCCTGTAGTATTGAGGTCTACTCAAAGGGTCTTTTTGGGACACACTTTCACAGAGAGCAGAGCAGAATGTGTTTATTAAGTATAGTGTTGGAACCATCTATTTCTGATTGACAGTATGACAATTTTAATTCCTGTCACAAAATTATATATATTATATTTATATTTAAATAAAGTCAAAATAAGTTCTGAGAATAATATGTGAAGTCATTGCCAAAACTAAGGTTTAAGTGTGATATTTCAGGACCAGTCAGAACCACACCATATTACAATAATTATTAGACATTTTCAAGTATGTGAGTGTCAGGAACTCTGTCCCAAGTAGCCATTTGGATGGCACAATGGCAGAGTGGTTCTCTCGCTTCTCAGCACGATGGTCCTGAGTTTGAATCCAGTTTGGAACAGGGCCTTTCCAAGTGGAGTTAGCATGTTTGCGTAGGTTTCCTCCAGGTTCTCTGTTTTCCCCTACCACTGAAAACACTTACAATAGGTAGAAATCGGATCATAAACATTTGGAGATGGGTCCCCAGGCGCTGCACAGTGATAAACACTGGTCCTGACAGAGGCTTTAGTGGCAATTCGGGATGGGTCAAATACAGAGGACACTTTTTTCCTACAGTGTGTAGTAGTAGTAGTAGTAGTAGTAGAAGTAGTTTATTTTTGTGTGTTACACTCTTGAGAACTGAGTAGAACCATAAGTGTCTGAAGAAAAAGTAAATAAAAATACCATATTATTGCGTTTATCTACACTGAACCGAAGTAGCCACGTGATGAGTGTTGTGGCGACACCCGCATGTGAACACTAGATCCCAGGAGACCTCTGAAGCTAAAAAGGGCAGATCCTGGTTAATACTGTGATGTGAGACCCAAGAATAACGCCATGTGTAGCGTCAATGAGTGTCTAAACAAGCATGAAATAGAACGTAAGTAGAGGTACTTTAATTACTTATATAAAATCTGCTAACCATACTTGAAATAACTACCTGCGATAGCCTCCATCTTGGATATTTGCGCAAAGCGACTTGGGATTGAACCATCCTTTGATTGAATGATGAACTGAGATACAAGATCTGAATGCATTTGAACATGTTTTTATATGGAAAAAACTATTCAATCTTACTAAAGCGCGTTTACGTTTTTGTATGTACATTATCAAAAGAGATCCACACATTTATCTAAAGTGGCCGTGCAAATATTGGTATTGAAAAGTTTTATTTATGTTTTAACGAGTGTGTATGGATTTAGAATCAGGCAGAGTCCGCCTGGTAACCTTGGTAACAGGTAGCGCTGGGACAGTTGAGCTTATTACTAAATGCTTGACCTGCACCTCAGTCCTCTCTATGAGTGAAGAAGCTATCTCCTGATGGTCTAACCTAATCCGTAGATGGAGGGATAGTTTAATGGATTACTATAGCTCTTCTTCCACTCTTGCTTTTGCGTGGCCCACACAAAGCAGACCGCTCTCTGCTCTCTACCCTCTCCCCGTCTCCCTACCACCAGCCTCTTCCTCTCTGCAGCCCCAACACCTTCACATACTTGAGAATTATCAGTCGTATTGAGTGCTTGATAAGTGCTCGCCATGTTACAGCTATTGAGCAACGATTTAAGGCAACATAAATAAGTGGGTGCTGAGAAGCTTTAGATATGTTGGTGAAGGAAAACTTTCAGGTTCTGCAGAGGGGGCCTGGCTCTGTGTGTGGGAGCTGCTGCCAACTCCTAACATTATCAATCGATTACAGCTTTTATTTATTTATTTATGATACTGTTTCTCAACAAATCGAATCAAATATCCAGGGAATCTTCAATATCACACAGTCAATCCTCACTGATTTGAAATTTGACATACATTCAAGGGGTGGCTACATTCAGGAGAATCATAGATCTCATCACATTAAGTTTTAAGTTTTATATATATATATATATATATATATTGTTCAATAAATAAGACTTGAATTTCTATATGACAAGTCTGAAAATATTCAATCACATTTTCATTAGAAAACCTTTGATTAGTGTTGCAGTTACTGAAACATGAACTGCAACACTTTTTTATATTTTCATATTCAAAAGGCTTTTAAAGTACAATCCAACTTTTGTTGCCAAAATCTTCTTGCCTGTGTATATACATTACCATATTAAATATGGAATTAAATAATTTAATATTACAAACTAAAATATAATTAATAACAAATGTATTTTTATTTTTTATAAAAATTCTATACAATTCATCAAATGATAATGATCAATAGATTCCTTGATTTCTTGGATCATGACCTAAAACTACTTAACTAAGCAAATGAGCTCTGCTTTGGAAACTGCAGAGCATCATCTTAAACACCAACACAACAAAGTGTTGAGCAGATCATAGTGCAGAAGAATGAATACACAAGCTGCAACATTGAGTGATTAAAATAACTGTAGTGCAGTTAAAATTGTTAAAGGTAACATTGTGTTTATCCTGTCACATGTTCGTCCTGTCATGTGACATGTCTTGCTTTTAAAAGAGACACACCTGATTGAGATTATTTATGCCCTGACAAAGACCGCTTTTGGTCGAAACGCGTAGGCAGTCCATTTTAATAAAGGACTTTTATTTTTTCACCACAACAGAGTGCCTCAGACTTCTTTTTCTCTTTTCGACATCCTAAATCTGCTTAGATTGCCCCGTCTTTGAAGAGCACCTGTTTGTTAAGCCTTCTACCACTCGTACCCTCTGCAGCACTCACCTTCCTTGCTTTACACTAACTGTAGTGCAGGATAAATGGCATGATCAAAAACAGGAAAATAAAACATTTAAAAAAAAAACTTTTGTGATGAAGCAGTGGCCACAGATCCCTGTAATGTGTGTTCACCTGAGAGTGTTTTATGACAGCGCAGAGATAGGGACCAATAGAGCCACAGCTCCCCCTCGCTATTGAACCAGAGCTGCAGAACACAGCTGCCACATCCAAACCTCTCTGGGGCCGCTGCCCCGGGACCATGACTTCCCCTTCCAAGCACTGACATTTGTGACAGCCAAATCCACTGCTGGCATGTTTCCTATCATCCAAACCCAAAAGACCCATGACGCCTTAGCAGCCTTGTTGTCGAAGCAATGCAGCTGCTGACAGTTTCCAACAGCAGCTGTTCATTTTACAAAGACCTTTAAATTAACTGATGCTGTTTTTCTATATAAAACGGAAGAATAGAGAAAATGTGGTTAACTATTGAATATGGCCGTCTGTCTTCAGTCCATTCATTGGTCAAAGATTTTTCCAATGACCAAAGTTTTCAAAAGTTGAAAAAAAAATGTCTTTAAAAAAAAAAATCCGTACAAGAATTTCTATGGGACAAGTAAGTAAGTAAGTAATGTTTATATAGTGGCTTCCACAGGCCAAATCACAAACGATTTTACAATTGTTCATTTGTCCTCTCACTCCACACAGTGATGGAAACGGGGTCGGCATACAGGAGGCGCATGCCATGACCTATTGCACATGTTTTTAGAGGTAGGGGAAACCGGAGCTCCTGGAGGAAACCTAGGCAGACACGGAAAAAAAATCCCAAAACACAACACCACACAGCAAGGCCCTTTCTGAATATGGAATGGAACCCAGGAACTTCATACTGAGAAGAAGCAATGGAGCAAATTTGTGAAATATTGTAATATTTACTTTGATTGTCAAGCCAGATCCATTCACATGTTTAATCTATATTAAATGAGTAAAGAATGTTCTGTCATGTGAGTACAGTTTAGTCAGATACATATAATACATAGTGAGAGGTTATGCCATGTCCTTTTTCTAGTCGGCTAATCGATCAACTGGTTTTGGTTGATTACAGCCCTTTTATCTTAGCTTACTGTGATAGTAAAATGAATGAGAACAGCCCTTGTAAAACTAGGATATTAGGAATGTGTGATCAATTCTGGGGGAATATTGATCTGCTACAAATTGTTGAAAGTGAAGCAATTTTTTTGTACCATTTTAAGTCCCTCCTCTTGCAGGCAAAGACTGCGAGAGGAGGGTCCTGGCAGCGGGACAGAAAAGTCCCCTGAGTGGAACTATTGACAAGACAAATGTGAAGTAGTCCCTCATCTGTGGCCCTGCTCCTCAGTATGTCAAAGCACACCTTCTTGACCTCAACACTCCAGATCCTCTCCTCACCAGTGGTCACATCAAACATTCAGAGACAACACACATCTGACAGAGCACACATCAGGGCATGGACTCACACGCACAGGGACTTTACTGAGACAAGACGACACATGGGCACAGAGGTCACAGAGGGCATAGACTTTATATGCCAATTGGTGTCATCAGATGAACAACGAATATCAAAATAAAGGTCACTAAAGGTATACCAAACTTTTTACATGAATAATGCATTTTGTTTGTCACAACAAAGAGTCATGTCAAAATACAGTGTTGTGAACCATTTTGACCACACCATTGTGCTTTCATAGGAATAGAAATATTTATTTTTCCAACTTGAAAGCAAGAGCCCTGTGAGTCTCTAATAGACACGTTTGGATGAGCGCTGATTGGCTGAATGAGGGTGGTAGTGTTTTTGCGGTTTTGTTCCTGGTTTGTGACAATACATGTACAGTACATGTGGAAACTCGTGAAAGATCCAAACTGCTTTGAGAATGAGGAACTAGTTAGATTGTTTTTACATACTGTAGTCCGATAGGTGTCTTTCACTGTGCTTTTCAACTCTAAAAATAACAATTCATATTGACAAAGGGAGACTATAGGGTATTGCACTGGCTCTCTGTGCTGTCAGCAAATCCTGGTATCCAATTGTGCTTGAGATACTTCTGTTACTACAATAACAAGGAAAATCTGCTGATGTGGTCATAAAGGAACTATTATGTCCACGTGTGATTTTTTTTAATAGAGAATTACAAAACTTTCTACCCAAGGTAGACAATAAAATTTTTATGAGCTCACAATAAGTGATTAGGCTAAACCTATATGACAATATCTAGGGGAAAAAATTTCTTACAGATTAAACAATATCAACTATCACTACTCACAGCTGCAAAAGGTAACCAAAAGCAAGAAATATGGATTATAGATTCAGTATATTCAAACATTCAAGAGATTGTATGCTTTTCAACACGGTATTTTTATGGATGGATAGTCGAAGCTGAAGTTAGCTGGAGGACACTGTGAACTGTGTGTTTATGATCTCAATGGCTACTTTGGGTTAGCAAGCCCATGACACAAAGGGCCAATTGGCCTGTGGGCCGGGCTTTGGACATGCCTGCACAAAATGAACTGCGAATCAATTCCCATTATTTGATATGTGAAAGCGCAGCATAACCTCAGGCACACATAAGCCGCCTTGACACCAGGCCTGCTCCAGGATTCTCCCTGTCCTGCACTTCTGTTGCATTATGACAATGTAATTCTATCATTGAGCAGCATCCAGCCCCTCCCACATCTTCATTAGCACGAGTTTGAATTCCTGCAGCCGCTCTAAAGCTAGGTAAATGTATCCCGTGCCGCACCGGGGCAGACAGAGGTGGCGCCTCAGCAATTTCATTTTGTTTAAAAATACTCCCCAAATGTTGTTAGCCCTGCATTAAAGGATCCTGTGTTAAAACAGGCTGGAGGGGAGAACTGGGGCTGAGCTTGGAGCCGGTGCTGCTCACAGTTCCCTGTTTGCACTCATACAGAAGGCAGCGTTCCTAACTGCATTAATCTCTCTATGTTGTGAGATGTTACACACCTGTGGATGCAATGCATAATAACCTCTGTATCTATACTATACTGTATTACTAGTAACAAGTAACAAAGTGAGAAAAGGAATATTTGCTCAGTTTGTGAACCCACACGCATCAGCTGGACATGAAACGACAAAGAAGAACACTCGGCACAACAGAATGGGAAATGCATCTTTTTAGGCTAGGCTTTATTTTGCACAGAAGCCACTGGCCCTGACTGAAATGTGTTAGGAGTGTAAGCAGAAAATGTATGTATACAAGCAATTACATTTTTAATAAAATAAAATATATATTGATTGTACACATGCGAGTAAAAAAGAAAAGGATTTGTTTTGAGAAATTACAGCCGTATCAAAAAAACAGGTATCAACAGCTGTCCTTTTTGTCTTCATATTGTCTGAGAAACTTAAATATAAATCTTGTAACAGTATTTGTAGCTACAATTATACAAAAAAAACAGGTAAATTCCTAAAATGAAGGGAATAAATGTTAGTATTTAGATTTAAACTTAATGGAATCAGTGTGAAATAGAAAACACAAAACTCTTTATGCAAGCACTGAATTTTTTTAGATACATTTCCTCACACACATACACCTCATTCAGTACGCTGAAAATGCGCGTTATCTATAGATATTATTTATTTCCTTAGTATCTAATCTGGAAAACATTACAGAATAATGGTATTCAGTATTCTTCTAACGAGTTAATACTGAACACTGGTTTTCCCATCATTAAAATGTGGTTATGTTGCGTCCGCAGCACAGTGGCTAAGAGGGTGTAGTGCTCATGCCTCTTCTTGTGTCTCAAGTTTGTGCAGGTCCTGACCTTTCTGTGTGGAGTTGGCATGCCTATTCGCCCAAAACATGTACAGTATCATAGGTAAAATCTTCCAGCTCCATTCCTGGCCAAGCCTAGCAACAACAACTGGAGAAGTTTTCCTAGTGGCATTCAAGGATGGGTCAAATGCAAGGAAACATCTCCCTACGTGTTTACTACCTTTACCTTATGCTCAAATGTGTTAAATTAGTATAATGCATTTTTCTCATCATCACAATGGTGCTACATTTGTCAAGAAGAAACAATGTCCGTATCATCAACAAACTCTTTTTAGTGTAAAATGCAATGTTGGGAAAACTAATGATTTCCTGGCAGTCTGTATTGTAAGAATGTGCTGCAAATAGTGAAATCTTTGGTCTGTCCCAGAATCTCTTTGTTTGTGTTTATATCATTTAACGTGTTGAATAGTAGTTGTAGTTATTTGCCTTTGAAACAGCTGGTATATACACTGACTCTGACTTTGGTGCGGGACAGACATAAAGTGGTAAAATCAATGAGCTCAGAGCACTATGAGCTGAAGTGTGGTTCTGTGGAAAAAAATTGCGTTCGCCACTTGTGCAATACTATAATGCTTTGCGGGTTGGAAGGGGGGGTACATGCCATTGACCTAATCCACACAATCAAAAACGGTCTTAGATGCTTCCATAAGCTTCCATAAGCTTCATAAGCATTTCTAATTCATCAGCTTTGATAAATTGATAAAATTGTGTGCAGTTTTCTAGCCACCAGATTTCTATTGTTTCAGTTAATCAGAAACACCAACTGCAGGTTTACTAACTGCTTAAAGGTTCTATATTTTTACACAAGTTAGAATAGAACCTTCTTTTTCTGTCAATTTAAGAATATTATACACTTCTGAAAGACAACAGCCTAATCTGAAGATTCAGAATCAATGTGAGAATGGCTGGTAAACATTTATTGACTATTCTCAGTTTGAGAGGTATTGATGTCTCTATTTGTCTCTGAATAAGCTTTTCATAGGGACATGCCCAAAGCCTGTTTACAGGTGTTGAAAGTCTCTAGCCTATAGGTCTGCATAATAGCTTACTGGTCTTGGGTACAAAGTGTTTGCGGAGCTCTGCACTTTGTGAGATTGAGTTAAGATTTACCACATAAATTTCACATCAGGACAAACAATGTTTGGAAGCAATTAAGCAACAAACTAAAGGCATATTTCTTCATCTGGTAACTATCAAGATATTTTCTTGTGTCAAACAACCTGTGTACATGTGCAATGTATGACAAAGATGAAAGCACATACATTAGCACCATTACTGAGAAGATGGGTTTTATCAGTAAGACTAGGTTCCAGCGTCTAATAGAGCCAAGACGCCAGGCATTGCCTACTTCTTTTTCATGCTCCTGCACTCAAGAGGCCCTTCAGGAGTCATTACAAAAGGCTGAATCACTTTGAATGTCTATGGATTGTAAGGAAGCCATTGTTGCTTCTTAACAAGAATACGTAAGAGTGCTTACAGTGTAAGAAGATGCACAAAGAGACACGCTGATGTCTTTGTTCTTTTGCACAGTAACACACATACACAGTCAATGCCAAGGGGTCAATGGTGAGCCTATTCTTTTGTGCAGGCCGCGTGTCACGTTCGGCTAACAGATGGACACTGACCCTCCCCTTATGGACTTCGATGGACTTCTGAAATCAAGATGGATCTAGGTTCGCTCACATTTGCACTTGTTGAAAATGCCTTGAACATTCATCACAGTGACTTAAAGGCCGCGGCGTATATGTATAACCTAAGAAACTTGTCACAGGACAATTGGAACAGCCTTTTCATCAAACAGTTGTGCTTTGCAGAGATGGTTGCACAATAATATTCACAATAAGATTTAAACAATTTAGTTTGACAGAAGGTGGTTCTCTTGGTATTCACTCACCTTCAGGGTAAATCGCAGCGCTTAATCAGATAAGGCCATTCATCACACCAGAGCTTTTGATAAACCTGTTACACCCCATCCTTTTATGATTAAGGCTTTTCCCCCACAAAGCTTACAGCCCCAGGTGGCTAAGAACAGCCTAACCTCTTGCCGATATGTTCTACAGCACGTGTGTATTGTACAAAAAAGTGTAAGTGCATTATAGCTGGAGTGGGCAAAGCAGAACAAAACCTGGGCCGGTTCCGAATGAGTCCTTTTATCAGGCACCAGGCGCCCAGTGGGAAACCTTGAGAGCCCAAACTGTGTTTTAAGTGAGACTGCAACTGCTGGGGCCATTATCCTTTCACTCCTAAACCTTTCTCTGTCTGTCTGTATATGTGTCGTTGTATACATGTGTGTCTGCGTCTATACCAAATGTGTGTGTGTGTGTCCTTCCCCTGCCTTGAAAGCCCTCCGAGCCTGAGGGAGCTGTGAAAAATCAATACGCTTCGGCAGCTCTGCCTCTTTATTCATTTAATAACTCACTACCATTGCATTACTGTTCCACTGATCTCCCATCACAGGGCCCAGATTGACACCTTTGTGCTCTTTTACCACACTGGAGTTTGATGTAATCAGTTAAACCTC